TAGCTACTACAGCAAATAATGGGCAAAGCAGGATACTGGAAGGATAGACATACACATCGCATACTCTCTGCCGTCTTCCTCTTTGCCCACTACAATGGACTGGATTCGGACGGTCGAGCGGCCATATAAGCTATTGTCACTTTCCTGAATGATATATTGTTGTCGCTGCATCTCCTTGCGGTGAATCTCACGCTGAATGCTAGCCTTAGACTTTCGCAGGATCCTTAACTCCGCAGTATTGTTCGTGAGGTCGGCTTTCCGGGTCAGAGCATCTATCACCGCGTCTTGAGCAGCGAGCTTCTCAATGTCAGCGCTAAGCGCCTCGATTGCCTCGGTCAGACCGAGATCTCCTGGAACGGCCTCTTGAACTTCGTCCGCAGGGTCCTTGTCATCTGTCTCAGGAGGCTCGTCATATTCATCCTCCAAAAACTTTTGCTGATCCGGGAAGAGTTCATCATCGAAAACGCCAATTCGAGATGACTGGTCGACAAGCCCAAGCGAAGCGATGCTCGGTTTGGCTTTACTGTCGTCCGTACGATTGTCTAATCGTCCCAAGTCCCCTGTACTGCGTGGAGATTTGATACCTTGATCAACGCTAAACGATCCGGCCGATCCAGAATCGATATCCTTCACATCTCCTAAATTGGCATTTCCGCGGTCATTCGTGATGATGTCGTTCAAAGCAGCCTCCATTGACTTGATTGCCTGGTTTTGGGTAGCGTCATTGAAGCCACTTTGAGAGTCGGAGCCAAGACTGTTTGTAGAAGCTGCGAGAGGGTCTGTATCGTAGTCATCATCGAACAATGGCGCCGACCGCTCGGAATCAATGGACCGTCTCGTCTCCTCTTCATCATCAAAGAGCCTGCCCATACTCCGGACGTCACTAGAGGAGGCCACGGCTCTCCGCAGATCCTTCGGCTTTTGCCCAGGATGTGAGGCGGTACGAGCCATTAAGGGAGGCAGAGGCCGTCTGACAGGCGACTCGACTTGTGTAGGCGACGCATGAGATCCGGCAACGGAAACTTCATCTGATGCGAGGTATTTATAGTACAGATCGGATTGTTTGAATTTGGGGTAGTACACACTTTGTAGCTCTTCCAGGACCGCGGACTGGGTGCTTAGAATGACCGTCCGTGCTTTACGGTACTGTTCTGGTGTAGCCCGTTTGCCTGCACTCAGAAAAGCCTTGACAGTTCGACGTGCTTCCTCACTGACTTTGAGTTCAGGCTTCGACAGGTAGGTTTCACTAATGAGAGCCATATCATTCCGATCCGCTGTGGTCCAGGTTGTGGAGCTTGGCGATGTCTCATCACCAAAATCATCTTCAAGCGGGTTGCGAAATCCGTCAACGACGATCCAGAATTGAACAAGTGACATGAGCTTCTGCCGATCCATAAACTCCATGAAGTAGGAGAGACCGGATGCATCATGCATCACATCGACCAAGGACGCCTCGGGTTTGCCCGAAGAGCTATTACGACGAAAATGAGACTCAACAGCGTTTGCATACGGCGTACTGCTTCCTCCCGGTGCCGATAGTTTAGCAACCTTTTGGTCCAAAACTCTTTTGCCTGTTTCCAGACGCCGGAGGTAAACCGGATCCTGACCTTCCACCATAGATTCCCGTTTCAGTTGACTTGCGACCAGCGCTCTGAAACGCCTGGCATCGGATAAATTGTTGCAACGCCGAATGGCTCGGACAAACCGCTCAAAAGCCCTTTCTGAATCGTTCGGTGCGAGTTTGGGAAATGGGTGACCACGTTTGGACTTCGGGGCGGGCGAAGCATGTTCGTCGAGAGCCGCCCGTATCTTCTGGACCGTTTTTCGATCTTGGATAGTTGTTCTTCCGTAAGCTTCAACCAATTGATTCCATGTATCTGGGTCCGATAGGACCGATACTAGAGGAAAGAGAACAGCGCAAGCTAATATCTCACGGATCAGAACGGTTACAATACGGCTGTTCAAGACGTGCTCCGGAAACAGCTTTGGTAGTAACCCCAATGTAATCTTCCGTAGATACTCCTGCTCCACAAGTTTCTGATCGGACACAGAGAGCGCCGCGGCGGGATGAAGACGACCATCACGATACTTCTTAGCGATGGCGAGGTCCAGTTCCTCGGATTCGGTCACATTTCGCGTCAAATTCCGTCCCCGCACAGATCTCTCTGCAACGTCGAATTCCTTCAGATGAGCGGTCAAAATCGGAAAGATACGCGACACGACCAGCGAGATCAGATCCTCTGCAAGCAATCGATTACATAAATTTCCGATAGCGGCTCGAATGACTCTATCCACTTCATTAACAAAAGCCGGATTCGGGCTTATATGCTGATACCAAGATGCGATAAAGTCCCGTGTCACGAGAGACAAGAGTTCATCAATGCTCTCCGATACAATGAACGAGTGCGGGTAGAGAGAATCTGCGCGGTACGTCGAGCGCGCGCGGATTCCTTCCACTTCTCTGAGCCAGTGCCTCGGGGAGAGAAATGCGAGGGGAAGGCTGCTAGGTCTAGGAGGTTTTGCGCTATCTAAGGGCCGAATCGTGAGAAACACCACCGCCAGCAACGCGGTACACGAGAGCACAACACCCAATACGAGGGCATATCCGAGATATCGCAAAATTGGAAGCCAGCGAACAACCAAGCCCCATGCAATAAAGCCACCAGTGCTAAAAAGAATGATGTCGCGGCGATTTAGGGCCATTCTCCCAGGTGGTATGAACTGATAGGCGAGGGTCGTCCCATGACGCTCAGTAAAGGAAGGCAGAACGGTTGAATGAGAGGAAGAGTAGCATGATCGGAAGTAGTGCAGAAACCAGATCGAAAATACTATCAAGCTATTATTAGTACCTGTTAAGGTAATAACGGCAACGACGAAACAAACATCAGGACGATGGGAAAGTACCCGCGGGCTGAGAGAGGTGCACTGATAGATACGGAGACATATAGATAAACGTTGGCGGTGAKGAGTTAGAGCTTGGAGACCCACCGAACGTGGGGAGTGTTTACTGATGAGACCCGAGATTGCCTGGAAAGGTAGACGCTCACATCTTTCGCCAGACGTTTGCTTATTGAGCTGAAGCAAATCTAGCTAAGGTAGATTCGTTACATCTCTGAGTCAATAAACTAGTCTAAATAAAAACAATATTTATCTCCAAGTCGACTGATTTCGATACTGATCGGATCATGTGACCCAGAAGGAACAGACGTCATGTCATGTGTTTACCTTACCTATTGTGGAGTGCTAGCATATGTGCCTGAGGTTGCCTTGATGTACTGTTGTTCTTTTTCTTCCTTTTCCTCGACAACCCCCTCCATATAATCATACCACGTTCGAACTGCTTTATCTCATTCTTGACACATTTTGAGTCTTCTAGTGCTCTTCCATCATGGCCAACCTTGTAGATTATATCGATTTTTCTCAAAAATCCTTCCAAGGTGCGATCCTCTGTTAATTGTCACCCCTATGCATGTGACTTCACAGCTGACGAGCATTATTGTAGGATGTGCTCTCTTCATCTTGTTCAATCCACTGTTCTGGAAGTAAGTCCTTGCTAGACTTGCTTCTCTCTATTTTCTTTTCCCAGTCGGAGCACTCATGGGCTAACGTACGCGTCGCTTGTAGCATCGTTGCCCGTACTGGTTGGTTTCAACCTCCCGTTCCCTTAGGCTCGAATCTAGGAATACTTGCTTATTGTCGCAAACCCGATTCCTTTTCCTCCTTGTAGAGTACCGAAAGCACTACTTGACTCGTATATTCGGTAGCCCCTACTACGGATGCTACTTTCTCGGATTCATCATCTTTACCCTAGGCCTCGCTCGCGACCATGTGTATCAACTGGCCCTCCAGGATCAGCCTTACTACGCCCCAGTGCACCAACCGATTTTAGGCTCCATCCTGTTCGGCATCGGATCTATCCTCGTTCTGACTAGCATGTATGCCCTTGGGGTCACCGGAACCTACCTTGGAGACTACTTCGGCATCCTCATGGATGCTCCCGTCACCGGCTTCCCCTTCAGCGTTACCGGTTCCCCCATGTACTGGGGCAGCACCCTGAATTTCTTGGGTGTCGCTCTCTACTTTGGCAAGGTCGCCGGTCTCCTGCTCACTGCGGAGGTCTTCATTGTATACTGGATCGCTCTCCAGTGGGAGGAGTAAGTCATCCGATTCTCTTCCAGATCCTCTGGCCCTGGGTTGGGTCCTACATTTCCCAGTGTCCTCGCGAGAAGAGAAGATGTAATGGAAACTGATCGCGGCATTGTAGTCCTTTCACTGCGGAGATCTATGCTAAGCGTGAACGGGAACGTGCAAAGTCCAAGAAGGGCGGCAAGAGCTTGTAAAAGTAACATGCCGTCTGCGTGCAGTAACACTCGAAACCGAAGACTCCGCAGGATTTAGTGTCATGGACTTTCAACATCCCTCACAATCCTCACGGGTCATGGACACCTTCGTCCTTGCCTTGGTTTTCGACAAGACGATTTGGGTGGCGCTTACGAGCTCACGATTTATGTCTTTCATGATAGATGGGGAAATGGGACAGATTGTGGAATTATCTTCAACGATCACTTCCAGTTTGACATCGCGGACCACTACCAACCTGCTTAAGGCACCAAAAGTTTACATGGTGGAGGTATATAGTCGGATGGTGATATAACGGCGAAAGAAGGTCACTGAGAAAGGTTGGCTCATGATTTTTGTACATAGCTTTTGTCACTTTCAGACGACGATATACCGAAGATATTGTTTAATGTTGGTTTTCACTATTTAGAATGCTAGCCTTTGATTCCTTGCTGGCGTAGTCGTTCTCCAAGTCAAAATGCCAAATAGAAGTCATCCCTGAGAGAATTCAAACAATTAACCTCCCACACAAAGACTCCGCCAACTCCACGCTATGTATCTATTCCAAAACTGTTGAATTGCGTGCAATTGAAGTCGTGAAATACGGCGTGTGAACCCTGTCCCGAACCAGATGGAAAGACCAAGAAGAGAATCCCAGTTGTCTACGCGCGTCGACCTCGTCCTCGTTTGCCTGTTGCTCTGCTCTCCTCGACCGTTTCGATCTCATCTTCGTCAACCCCCTTTTTGAGTTCTTCGCCTTCGGCGAGACCCCATTTTTCAGGATCGTACCAGTCCTCTCCATCACTCAACTCTCCGACGTGCCCTTCCGCTTTACACCACTCAAAGACGTCTTCCTGCATCCGACACGCCCGGAGCAGACACTCAAGCATGTGCTCGAATCCTCGAACGGTCTCTTCTTGCTTCTGAATAAAAGACCAAAGCAGCCGTCGCGTTTCTTCAGCTTCATTGGCCGGTAACCCAAAGTTAGGATCAGGTAGCACAGACTCAGGCACGAGGAATAGCGGATGTGGCGCTGGAAGTGCGTTGAGTGTGTCCGTGGAAGCCGAGGGGGAGAGCTTGCTACAATCTTGGTCCGGTTCTGGATTTGAAGCATTCGCTTGCGCTCGCGTAGTCATGCGTCGAGGCGGTTCTGGTGATGAGCCATCCTGCATCTCCGTGTCCTTGTCCGTTTCATCTCCTTGGGGATCGTCTCCTTGTTCGGATTCTGCTTCCGCTTCTTGCTCGTCATTCGCTCGAGCTTTTCCTTTCTCTTCTTTAGGATGTTGGTCCGAATTTGCTACAGAGTCATGGTCCTGCTTCCCATCAGTCACGATGTGCCCATTGACCTGCGGTTCCGAATTTGCAGTGTCTCGATGCGGGGGAAGATCCGTTACAGCCGCATCGACTTCCTCAGACTTGGGCTGCATCGACTGATCGTTTTTGATAGTGTTGTGGTCCGTCTGCACCTCCGCCTCGTTGTTTTGAGCATCCATCATCTCAACGTCTTTTCCTCCTGCTTGGGCTGCTGGCGACTCCTGGTTCGATTTATCTGCTGCAACCGAATCGACCAGTCCATTTAGCGTATTTTCGCCCGATGGAGAACCGCGCATCGCATAAGACGCCCAAGGCTCGAATAAGAACCGATCTTCCGTTGTTTCAAACATCCCGCAAGGCATCCAGGACCCATCCCCAAGGAACTGTCGATGAAGATTCCTTGCTCGCCACAACAAAGCGCGCTCCTGGCGAAGTTTCGCTTCAACAGCTTGAGTCATATTTCTAAGCGCCTTCGAAGTGTAAGCGTGCGACAACGAAGGGTGAGTAGGCAGCTCCGACGGATGCTTCAGAGGACATAGGAGGTCTAGATAACACGGAAAGATGTCAGCTGTCTAGAATATCACTGAACCAGCGACAGAGTGCAACCACGTACTTTCCAAAGCAATCTCGGAGAATGGATTCTCTTCAGCAGCAGCCGCATCCGCTTCCGAGTCTTCATCATCCTCATCAAGCTCGTCACCCTCCGAATCATAGCGCACCGGATTGCGTTGAAGGATATAGCGAGTGTATCCGGCATGTTCGATTTTCTAGAGCCCGTGTCAGCCGTTCTGTTCCTGTAGCCCCGCGCGCCATTGTCGATGTTTCAAACACGCAGTCCGGAGGGTCGGCAAAGTTACCTGCTTGTACAATTGCTCTGGATGGATGTATCCTAGAGCGCCCTCACGCACGTACTTCGCATTGGCCCGTAATTTGTTGCCTCTGTTCGTCGGCTGAGTGATCGGTTCATCGGGACCTGAGTCTTCATCATTAAGAAGTCAGAAATAGCCCAGAAAAGTGACCATTGATCGCAAGGGTGGGACAAATAAGGAAACGCAGGTATACACTCTGTCTCTCTTCGCAAGGCTCTTTTCATGCCAATAATTGTATCGGCGATCAGGGCCGCTTGCGCTGCCATGATTGGAATGTGTCCGATTGACGGCGTAATGGGCGAACAGAGCAACAAGCAGCGCAAGAAGGGAAGGATGAGCTAGTCGAAACGTCCAGCCACAATGAAGCAGTAAGTGGCAATATAGCAAGGGATAGTGATGAGCAGATGACCTGCACGGCGTCCTCCTCTCTCCCTAGTTGCCGTTTTTGTGTCTTGTCTCTCTGTCTTGTTATGTCTTTGTCTGTCTGGGGAGCTGCGGGCGCCGGGCAGTTCTACGATCGGCGCCGCTAGTCTGTTTTAGGCCACCTTTCCCAGCGCGTGATAAGGGCTGACCACGTGATTAGCCCTGAGTCCGGATGACGTCTGGTGTCATGTAGGTATATTACCTTAATTACACCGGACCGAGAATGCAATTTGTCTACATAGCCGAGAGAATGCAGTAACTTACTATCTAAGCTAGGTAACGTAGGGATGGATCGTCCTGACTCTACTCGTTCATTGTTGAATGGGCAAAAGCTGTGATATATTATCTAGTCGTCAGCGTCAACCCAGATCAAAATCCCCTTCTTTTCTGATCGCATGTCTTCAGTTGGCTGTACCCGCAGGGCTTTGTTGAAATACGTATCCACAACATTCAATTGGGGTTGGATCCATAGCCCCCGCTTGGAAGCCAGGAGGTTATATCGCACTGTGTGTCTGCTTAACGGCACAAGCTGGACGACCGCAGTCTTCGGTCCGCTGAAAGCAAAATGCTCACTCGCCTCCATAGCGAGGTTGAAAGTGAGAAAGTGCGTCGAAGGATTCTCCAGCGTGTAGTCCAGGTGAATCAGACCGGAGATAGCTTCTGAAGCCAATGCCGAGGCAAGTACGCGGGGCTCTCCCGCGGGCATCACGAAGCGCGGAATGGGTAGAGTAGTCGTGGTGACGGTAGCGATGTCCGCTGATGATGCAGCGGCGTCGGTGCCTATTCGATGCCATTGGATCTCTAGAGCCAGATTCAGAGCTGTCGGCCGTCGGTCTCCCAAGACCAACTTTTGAATCTCCAGTATAAAGCTGGACTCGCGAAGCTCCTCGGGACGTATTTCCAGCGCATGTGGGTCAGCGACTATTTCAGATCCAATGTTGCAGACGGCTCCGCCTCCAACGCTCAGTAGCACTAGCGTAATCTTTTCGATGACAAGCGGCTCCAGGGCAAACGAGACAACCTTGGAATTCAAGCACCATCGTTGCCGCAAGCCTCCAGGTTTAGGCGTAGTTTCGTGTTCAATTGAGTCGTCATCAATTGTAAAGAAATCAGGCCAGGGTTCGGGATGAAGGCGCGGAAGAAAATCATAGTTTGCCTCAAATGGTCGTATGATTGATAAGGCGAGTCTGTGTGTCGCGATGATCGGGGTCTGATAATCAGATAGCAGATTGTATACACAAATAATTTGAAGCTCGTGGGTTGACGGTTCAAGAGTGTCTGTCAGCACAAGCATCAACTCTTGTCTGGATGACCTGTCCATGACACCAATGGGCCGTTTCGCCACATGACGCGCCCCCTCGATGGGCGAGCTCTCCTGCGAACGAGGAGATATGGCCTCACCATCCTCATCAAGCCACAGTATCTGCGCTGCCGAGTCCGGATGTCCGAAGAGCCTTACCTCTGCGGACACGTCTGCAGCCTCGTCTTCTTCGTTGTAGATATCCAGTTTAAGAACAGCTCGCTCGTTTGTATAGTATGTCGCTCTGATGTTCGGTGTTGTAATTCGAATTTTTGGCGGTTTGGGCATGATCTTACACCGACAGGTATCCCGGTCTCTGCCCACGCGTCTCCGGGATACGCCATTCGTGGACTGCTGCCACCAAAAGGAGTCACGCTTGGTCAGCTCAGTTATAGCGCAGGCCAAATCAAACCTCTCATCTTCAATAAGTAAAGTTATTGATGCCACCCTGGAATCCCCAGCTTCGCGGGGGACAAAGGTTAGATTGAACACTTTGGTCTGGGCCGGTCCTATGGTCAGATCACCCATTCCTACCAGTGCTGTTAGGCCATTACTCGGTGATAACAGGGTCGTCGAGTCAGCAGATGTGGGCTCACGTAGCGTGAGCGACGATATCGTGCAAGGAGTCGTGATGTCAGCTGTCACGTTATGGTCGGATTGAAGCTTCAGTGGACGGAGGCAGCCCTCGAAAACGACCTTGACCTCTGACAGTCGTATTGGGTCTGAAGATTTCTGACCGAGAGAAGTGATAGTCAACTGCCCCATGAGAGGCTCGCCAACATTTCCTTCCGACTTCTCGAAGACAAATGTGGCTGTGACTGTGGCCAGTGGAATGTCAGGTATTGAGAAGCAGGAACGAGACAACAATAGCCAAGGGAACACTTACGGCTCGATATGACATCCTCGGCTTTGAGTACGACAGCTGGCTTGTGTTCTGTGATAGGAAGGTCTCTAAGGCTCTGGTGGATACTGTAGTGCCAGCCTGATCGCGGTTGAAACACTGTGCAGGTTACTCGTGAATCAGTGACACAAGCAAGACAGGGCGCTGTAACAGAAAGCTGAAAGCAAGAACGCACCTTGGTTCATCAGTTCCCAGTCCACTCGTAACACTATCTCGCTATCCTGCATATGTAGCGCGCATTCCCTCAAAGCCCAACCGAACTTCTCCATGAGCGGCCACCAGCCAGCCTGTCGCCAAGTGAGCGTCGGCCATAGTGGACGAAGGATCTCATATGCTTCAATCCATGAGCCAACACGCATGTATTCTTCCGCTATCTCTAAGCTGAGGCTCTCCGTCTTCCGAACTTGCTTACGCCTTGCAAATTGCTCCAATGCGGCCCTCAGGGCGTTCAGAATTTGTTGTGAATGATCGAAGCCAGTTGAGCCTCGCTGCGGTGCTTCAACATATGGCTCTGGAGCAAGATAGGTGTCATACATATATGACTTACTCGCTATCTGAGAAGCAGGTAATTGACCTGGTGGTATGCGATCTTCATCTGGAATCTGCTCGGCTAGAGTGCGTCGAGTCACCGCGTGTTTCGCGGACCGGTACAACCAATAACCCTCATGATGAAGGAGCTCCCAGGGGCACAAGGCATCGATAAGAGGCGTCGTCTTTTCAGGGGGGACGAAGATCAAGTACTGATCATCGTCTCCGTCTTGGGGCGATGTGTTGCCAGAAATGCCAGGGATATTGGCCTGGCGTATAAGCTGTGCCATTGCCATCGACCATCGAGCCTCCCAAGCTTCCCATCCGTAGTTCCTGGTTCCTTTACCTCGCCGATTGATAATATCACGGGAGCGAGTACGGTGGTTGACCCATGAACGTACTGCGGTGCGGGTTTGTCCGGTCCACAATAAGCAACGAATTATGCGGATTGCCAGAGCATCAGACAAGAGGCGAGCATCATTAAACCTTAGATTCCAACCGGCGATATTCTCAAAGACATCCTGCCCAAACAAAGTCTCATATGCACTCTCATAATTCCTTAGTGCGGCATCGATCTCTTGGCGAAACTCGGCGAAGATACCAAGTTTAAACTCATAGCGAACATTCCATCCCTGGAGTGATAGTGTCTGTGATGTTCCGCTTGTGGGTGGTGCCGTAGGAGGGGGAACTGCGCCCCGGTTACGTTTCCGTCTTGCGTGTTTAGATAGGTCCCGATAATATTCTACCACCAACGGCTGTAGCATGGTCAATAAAGTCCTTGTGAAATCAATCAATTCCGCCGAGGTTGCATCAGGTGGAAGAAGAAGAACGGATTTCTGGTCCAGACTTGTCGCTCTTCGTATGCTCGCGATTCGCTCCTCTGTCTCCTCCTTGTTACAGCCAACAGTGCTTTCCTCTGACAGGAGGACGACAACAAAACGAGTTTTGTAACCAGAGTCAGACCATTCTTTCTTCAGTCCATTAATCTCAATCTTGAGTTGATTATCGCGGAGGGAGCTCATGTTGGGGTCCAGGCAAAATGGGAAGAAGTTGATGACCGCCGCAGGGACGAGGTTTTGGTGCTTCGTCACCCACAAAGGAGTGAGTAGACCATCAGGAAATGTAGGAGAACTTGGTGTCAAGGGAGATATAGGCGAGTGCAGGACGAAGGATGGCGCTGTATATGAACCATTTTGTTGCTCGCCTGTTGGACTGGTTGGAGGAGACAGCGGCGGGGGATCAGCTTTCCGCGGGGGAAGTCTGTAGGACTGCGTTTGTGTCAGCAATAGCTCACTTTGCCTTCAAGTGGAAGACTCAGTATCCTCGTGGCCTCTAGGGTGTACAGAGCAATTACAGTAGGCTGCGCCCAATGCAAGGTGCTTGTTCGTGTCCGATTGCAGAAGAGACGCCTTGGAGGGGCTGATTGATGCGGTGGATGAGAACCTACCCTCCCTACACTCTTGATTTTATATCCAATCCCTGAATACCTCGTACTTGTAGGTTCACTATTGTCCCAGGGCGCTTCTGACGCATCCTCCTCCAGAAGGTTCCTCCGCAATTCCTCCGCGGTCGGTCCGCTTAGAGGTGGAAAGTCCGAGTATATTCTTGGACCCTTTTCGAGGAGGAGAGGGTACTCGCGACCGCTCGATCCAGCTTCATCTGGAGGGTCGACTTCTAGCCCGGAGAGAAGGATGAAAGGAAGGTTGTGGACCACATAGTCTTCGGGGTAGGCGTCCATGGCGGACAATGGTCTTGTCGTCGGATGTAGATCACCGCATATCTGAATTCAAACGTCCGCTGAGGCCACCACGACGGATGACCGCTAGATTTGTTTCTCGTTGTTGAGGCAGTGCTGCTTGTTACCTCTGTTGATTGAAAGCACACCTTTCGCTTGTCTCCTAGATGACATGGGCGTTCTTTTGGTGGTGGATGTAGACCTAAGCATTCGCTTCCTTTGCCAAGCCACGAGCATGTGTTTTGGTTCAACATCATCAACAGCGCCAAGCCTAAGTACTTCCGGGCTATCATACTATCGGCGGGGGGTGCTATAGTCCCGTACGACAACATTGACAAACCGTATCGTAGACTACCAGATGTTTTTAATTGTTTCACGAGTCTCAGTCAGTCAGCCGAGTTTTTCTGCAATGGAGATAGGTCTGTTGGTATGCGGAAAGCGATCCGCAGTCAGTGGTAAATATTAGCTCATGAGCCTCATTTACGCGCGAAGTTTATATATATTTCATTGCAAGGCCAAAGTGGCCAGCCTTTCGAATTCCGAGTCATAAGCGTATTGTCACAGGAATAGGTGTTGAAACCTAGGTATGGTGAATAGAAAAGTGTCAATGGCTTCTCTACCATATGTCATTTCTTGATCTCCTTGTGGTAACGATGCATATTAGCTGCGATGAGGCAAAGTTTGATGGTACGATATCAATCGCCAAAGTCGATGCAACAATTCCAGATCCTCAGATACGGAATATTGTGTTCCTAGTTTCGTTCCTGTTTCAATACTTGAGATGTACCTTGCCGATGTCATGCCAGGATTGCAAGGATACCATGCATTGCGACTACAAACAGCGAGACTGCTCTAGAACGAAGGGCCACCCTCATAAAAATAAAGGCATGACAGCCGACAAGCATCCCATGCTCTTCTGTCAATTGGGTCATGTCCCTTGCATTACTACTCATCCAAAAATGTCGAGTCTGTCATATGTTTTAGGTCGACTAGTATACGCACGTCCCTGCACCATCAAAAAGGGCAGGAAACAAGCATCCATCTTGATATCTTGCCAGTTGCCCCTTCGGCGGGCAGTCTTATGTCCCTGCGGTATCCATTTGTTCCGCAAACATATTAACTAAAAGGAAGGCGACAGAGATCACGTCAGTCCAGCTTAGATAGGCTTCGATTCACAGGATCTGATCTGGACCTCTGATGCACGTTGGTTCATCATATCAAGATCCTCAAAGCCTCGCTCGTCACTCTTATGAGCTCAAAGGGATTCATCAAAATAAAGATAAATACTCCGTGGTCTATCTACAGAGTCCTAGGGAAGAGGCTAAGTGAGGAAAGTGACCCATTTGTAGGTTTGTATTGAACTTTGAGTAAGCGAGGTGTTTCGGTGGCCCAACTGGTACCTCTTTGAAATTTGGATCTGCGAACCATGTGGACGAGAAGACCCAGGACTGTTGCTCATTCGGCCCTGAATCGTGGGATTTCTCGTGTCTGTCAAAGGAAACTAAGCAAGAATTGGGCTAGTCAGTGCCCCCAGAGCAACAATAATAATAATGAAGACATCGAAGATTATTACATTTCCTGATTCGAATCTTCAAGAGCAAGTAAAGAACCAAGATGGCCAGAACAAGGGATTGTTGTTCTTCGTCTACCTATCGAATTCGTAACTATTATTGCAATCAGACCTACCTCTCTAAGTAATCATTCCTTTATATTGGCTTGCCATCGACCTCTCTATCAGTCCGGAATCAATAGGTAGACTACCAAGTAAGGTAGGTACTCCGTTTCTCACTACTCTTAAGCTAATCAATATACTTACTAGTATAATGGTCTTATTATTCCTTTTCCCCTTCCTTCTCCCTTTCCTGGACTACTATCTAGTCTATCTACTAAATAATAAGAGTTAACTCTCATCACTGCCCCTCCTTTATTTAACATTCTGGCACCGATTATCAACTAGATACTCTCCTTAAATATCTTTCCTAGAGACCCGATTTCTGCTGAACCCATGATCATAATCATAATCATAATTTCAAACACCAGACCAGAGACAACCCATTTGAAACTCTTCCCATCCCCTCCCTGTTTTTCTATTTCCCCAGATACCGGACTTCTGCAAGGGGTTCGCAAGCCGCAGGGGGCTTGATACGATCGTCCTGGATCCTCACCAATCGGTCGGACTCGCACATGCATCAATTCTTCGTTCTTGATTTAGATTTCTACCGTTGAGCCAGTCTTATCATTTTTTCTGCAGGATAATGCGAGATTTGACCCCGCCCTTCCGCATCAATTGCCGGTGACTTTCGATTCTTCTTCCGAATCTGGCTGGAGGGGTTCCTGGAATCCCAGGGTTTCCTAGAAGCCCAGGCCCAAAAATCAATTCCTTTCCCAATACCGAAATCCCCCCAAAAAAGAAGGAGAAAAGCTCAGAGTCATAGAAACAGAGGAGAGGATGGGCGCTATGGAGGACTTTCCTGCGCCCACGGTGCATGCCCCTTTACAACCAGCGTCTTCCTCCCTGCTCACACGACGTCGCAAATCTCGCTCGCATTCCACAAGTCGGTCGTCAGTCGACCAAACGTCCCCGGAAGTTATTACGTCTTTAATTTCGTCCCTGTCTACCATCTCTGTTCCCCTCCAATCTCATTTCGATAACGTTCCGCGCCTCGACTTAGATACGGATCCATCTTCCCCCATATTTTCAGTATTCTTCCCATCGGAGCCACAACCTCCTACAGAGCAGCACTCATCAGGCGATCATGGGTTCGGGATAAGCTACGGAGCGCAACAGCTTTCAGAGCAAGAGACGCATAGCCCGTTTCTACATCCGGACGATGCAGCAGCTGCTCCGGTCATTCGCATGGCCAGGGCACCTCCATCTCCAAAGACGAAAAGCACTTTCGGCCCTTCTCTATCGTCGGTGCGACCCGCTTCCAGGAGCTCATACACGTCGGCCAAAGCTGCGTGCGAGGACAGCGCATTCGGCATGATCACAGCCGAGCCCGGCCCCCGAGTCTCCACAGCACCCAGTATCGCATCTACGGCTTCTGGAGGCCGAAAAAGTCTGAAAAGCCAGCTTGGACTGCTGAAGAAATCCTCGCGCGAATTCATGAACGATAAGGAAAAACAGACAGATCGTCTACGGAAAACGAGTAGTTACAACGACAGCCTAAGGCATAACATTCCCCGCAATAGGACCAGCTTGCGCTCTATGCATTCTATGGCTGACGTTGCCGAGGAGGCGCGACTGGATCATTTCTCCAAGGGCATCCATAGTGAAACTGCCGTCAGTGCCCCGCCTAGCAGAGAACGCCAGTCATCGCACAGCGCCCGAGGGAGTGTAAGCAGCACGCCTGGAGGTATCGGGAGTGGAAGGGTCATTCCTGCGCGCGAGTCCTCCTTGCGTCACAGTTTCTCTTCCAGCCCGAGGAAGCGCAGATCCACTCGTCATACCAGGTATTCATCCACTGCTAGCAGGGATACGAAAGTTGAGTCCAGCCCCGGCGAAGCTGGCAACGAAGCAGAACAGGTCACGAAGAGAATCCAAGAATTGAAGGATCAGCAGCAAAGGATCAAAACCGAATTGGAAACAGACGACAGCCCAGACAAGTGTTCCAAGGATTCCTCAACTAGGCCAAGTCAGCCCCTTAGGACATCAAGCCACACAAGCTATCACCCATATGCGGATGGAAGAGAAGCCGTCGTGTTTGATGAGAGTGCTCCGGCACCCGCCGTAATGACCGGGAAGAGCAGAACAACGGCGCGAAGTGACTCTCCGCTGACATCCAAAACTCCCAACTTGCCACTGCATAGGCAATCTTTCGATAAGCCAGATCAGAATGATAAACTTCGCTCCAGACGATCATTGGAGTCTTCGGCCCCGAAGCGACACCACAAACGTGCCCCATCCGGGCCTGCGTCTCCAGTCCATGCTTCGGTCAGCGACGAACGACCGTCGAGTGCCGACTCAATAGATCTCGCAGTATTAGAGTATATCTCATCGCCCAAACTTACTCAAAAAGTTCCCCACCCAACAACAGGCCGCGCCATAGCATTTTCTGAAGTTGGAGACCCGAAGGGCCACGTTGTATTGTGCTGCCTCGGTATGGGCCTGACCAGGTATCTGATGGCGTTTTACGACGAGTTGGCGCGGTCTCTCAATCTCCGACTAGTGACCTTGGATCGCCCCGGAGTAGGCGAAAGCGCACCTTATACAGAGGAGGCAGCAAATCCTCTCAGCTGGCCTGGTAAGAAGACCAAACCTTTCTTCGGCTCTCCCGAATTTCCTTCACTAACCGAGCATAGACGATGTCGCAATAGTGTGTAATCACCTCAAGGTCAACAAGTTTTCGATACTGGCTCATTCTGCCGGAGCGATTTATGCGCTGGCAACGGCATTGAGGATCCCACAACACATCCGCGGCCGTATCCACCTTCTGGCTCCTTGGATTCCGCCCTCTCAATTATCGAGCATGGGGCCGCACAAGGAACCTGTACCTACCAACGCTGTTCCGTATTCCCAACGGATTCTGCGAGCTTTGCCTGCGTCATTCCTGAAGGTCGCCAACTCGAGTTTCATGAGCGCCGCAAGCGCTAGTCTCACCTCCAGTTTGCCGAAAGCTCCTCGCCGCACCCGTCGCAAGACAACCTCAAAAGATATGTCCCCTGCGTTAGCGACGGAGCCGAAAGGGCCCGGGCGGGCTCAGTCCAAGATACATCAACAGGGGGGCGATATCAAAGCACTACAGGATTTGAAGGCGCCGGTCGTCTCTCAAAGAACAGATGTTAAGCAGGTTGAAGTCACCACGAGCCAGACAGCCATAATCTCATCCGAAGAACGCGAACGCCAGAGCGATTATGATAACAGGCTGACCCACAAGATATGGGAGCTGGCCACAACGAACGCAAACCCGGCAGTTGATCTTTTAGTCTGCCTAGAACGCCGCCAAACGATTGGCTTCCGCTATGTGGACATCACTCGCAATGTTGTCATCCACCACGGAAGTAGAGATACTCGTGTCCCTGTCGACAACGTCCGTTGGTTGGGCAAAGGCATGCGACGTTGCGAAGTGCGAGTCCTCGAGGGCGAAGGCCACGGATTAATGGCTTCTGCCACCGTTATGGGTAATGTGCTGATGGAGATCGCGAAAGAGTGGGAGGACTGGATGACCGTGGTCCAGGGCAGGCGACGAGGGACAGTGGGACCGCGTCCAGGTTTCGCCTTGCCGACATGATGCATGATGCGCACCTGAGCACGCGCTACACATCTTTTTTATCACAACTACAAACACAATCACCCATCTGCCCTCAGCCATTTAGCTGAGAGATCCCTAACCCCCACCTATTGTTTTAGTATGACACCGCTGCAGGTCTACGGTTGTCATCTTGCTGCAATCTCGACACGCCTGAGGACGATTCCAGCCTCGAGTCCTGTTTTCAATATCGGGACACTTTTTGCACGTCGTCATCGAGACTTATGCCTTTCACTTTTGCTTAGATCATGATACCAGTAGTCTTGCTCTGCTTGTTATTTGTTACTAAAAGAATACCCCTTATAGCATAGATAGCCGAGCTTTTAATGTAGTTTTTAATGAATAAGACAGCAAACAAGGGCACTGAAACTTCTCAGAAATATTCAAAGTGATAGATAGAAGCTGTTCTGTTGCGTTACATTAGTATAATAATCTAGCCCTCGGCGAGGTATGTGATGAGTACTTACCGTGACGTAATTGGAAGCGCGAGCTAAGGTACAACGTACCTAATCCCAATGGACGATTTTGCCGCCTCTCTCATGGCAAATTGACCATATTACAAGTTGATCGCTTTGCTTCAGTTCCAGGCGGACCTGAGAGTTGGGAATAGCCAGGACCAGTATTCAGGCCATTAGATTTCCCTGTGGTCAGACCCTTTACGCGGGGATTGATCGTCGTGGTCAATGTACAGAAGCTACCCCTGGTACTCCATTACTGCGGAGCTGAACGAGCGTGATAACACTCTACATGCGAATCTCATGCTAGACGCAAGAGAACCACAGTCACGGTTAAAGAAAATAAAATAATCAGATTGTTAGCGCCGGACAGGTGCTATATCCGACCGAGGTCAAGCAGAGCATCGAACAAGATGTTCTCTCAGCGGCGGATCAGGCTTCTGCTCATAGCCGTCGTGGTGCTAATGGTCACCATCTTCTACTTTTCGGTACGACCATCCTATCCTGCGAGAACTAAGCATACGGGAACTAATATAGCTTGCGAATGCTAGGGCGACGCCGGCACAATACAAAATCAAAGATTCTATCGATCTACTGTCGCGGCGATAGACGCCCACAGAGAAGCAAAAGAGGCTGCGTCAAAGCAGAATGTACAACCGCAGAAACCCGCCCCTCCAAAGCCCGTCGAGGACAATGCAAAACCAGTAGTGGAGGAGGCGGACAGAGTCAAGGTGGCCATCCCCAAAGGCGCCAGTGAGGAGATGGAAGAGATCCCAATTGCAGGACGTACGAAGATGACGGTACCAAAGAACAAGAATCAGGATCCGCCCAAGCAAGAGCGCCCGTCGGCATCTTCTGAGGATGACTCCGAAGTTAAGTATGAGCTCAATGCTATTCTCAAAAGGTCGCCCAGTACGTTAAGTCCCCTAAAGCCCATATCTGTTGTCTACGAGAGGGTCACTAACACCATGCTCTACTGCGCAGTCGTTATTTTCTCCAAATCCTACTGTCCTTATAGCAAGCGGGCAAAGTCTATCCTCCTCGAGAAATATAATATAGTACCGGCGCCGCACGTGGTCGAACTCGATCAGCATGCAATGGGACAACAACTCCAATCGCTCTTGGCAGAGAACACCGGCCGACGTACTGTACCCAATGTACTCGTCAATGGAAAGAGCATAGGCGGCGGTGACGATGTGACTGCACTTGATGAGAAGGACGAGCTTGCCTCGACGCTGAAGAGTCTGGGTGGGAAATGGATACAGGAGGTCGATCGTAAGGACCAGAATAAGCAAGCTGAGTAATGGTCATCGCGCGACAGGTATGATGGGGATACAATACAGCATGGAGTTTGGTTGGGTGTTTGGGCAACTGGGTTCCTGGTTTCTTCTCTTCTCACGACTTCTCTGGATATTTCAAGCACAATCTCTTCGCCATAGGCACGCGAGCAAGTCATTACGATCAAATAAGAAGTGAATGACTTTGCATTTCTTCTCGATGTCCTTTGACGTTCAAGTGGCTCTTATAAAAATGCTTTTTGGTGCCTCAGGCCAGTCCAGTGTAGTTCAACGACATTCAGCGACGACGGAGAGAGAGATAGCAGCAGAACTTCTAATAAAAACCAAATAGACCGAATATCTATTATCAATGATGACAATAGATATCTAACATGGCCGTAGTAATAATAATCAAAAGGTACCTTAGCCGGGGCTAGATACCTCTCTAGTAACTGTAAGATGTCCGCTGCCGGCAGAACCCTAGAATATGCGCTAAGCCGGAATGGTCGTTAAGCGACGCACAACCCGCCCGCCCTCGATTTTCGCTCCACCAAGACCAGGCCGCCTCCGTTGAATTTCGATCCTTTCGACGACCGACCGCACGAACGACATCGACAATTCTCCCCTCGGACATTCCACAGCCCACGCAGTCAAGATGCGGTACATTTACTCCGAGGAACGGCTGCCAATTCCCGAGAATGGTGAGCAAGCGATTCGTCCCTTGTTGTTTGAGGTCATTGGAAGAAAAGACGCMGGAGCAGAATGGAAGACAAGTAGCGGTGCTTTTGGGTGTGCTAGGAAGTTGTCGCGCCAGTCTGGCTACAGGAACTGTTTGCAAGGAAGACCGCTGCTACATTCCTGCCCAAGAGGAGGGAATGCGAGAATGACCGCTGTTTGGGATCAATGTCTTGAGATGAATAGGGACTAACGTGGATTTACGCCATTTAGTGAAGGTTCACATTCGCTCGCGAGTTGTGACCGTTGAGGGACCCCGAGGTACGCTGAATACAATACCCAAAACTTGTCACGTTCGGGAATTCTCTTCTCGAGCAGAGGGAGAAATTTCAGTCGAGACGAGTGGCCCGTCATCGCTGGGGGTCAACGGCACTGACATGGAACTTTTTCACGCGAATCAGGCAAGCTCGTCAAGGACCTCTCCCACATTGCCGTCACCTTCGGCCGCCCCGAGAAGAATGTCATCTCCATCGAGATGCACCACGGTGTCCGCAAGGGCATCGCTACCCTCCGTACCGTTCGCACCCTTATCAACAACTTGATCATCGGTGTCACCCGGGGCTTCAAGTACAAGATGCGCTACGTCTACGCTCACTTTCCCATCAACGTCAACATTGAAAAGAACTCCGAGACTGGCCAGTATGAGGTTGAGATCAGGTATGCTGCCGCAGAACCCCCCGATTGAAGGAAGCTGGGGAAAGAGAACTGGCTGGCCGTCCTTTCAGGATCTCGGGAGAAGGGGGCTTTTGGCCACGCGAGATACTGTCGCATCCACTTTCTGAAAGAAGAGCTGTGCTGACGGGCTTAACTTTTGCGCTTGTTAGAAACTTCTTGGGTGAGAAGATCGTTCGTCGTGTCACCGCCCAGCCCGGTGTCGAGGTCGCCACCTCCTCCAACGTTAAGGATGAGCTCCAGCTCACCGGTAACTCCCTGGAGGCTGTCTCCCAGAGCGCTGCCGACATCCAGCAGATCTGCAGAGTCCGTAACAAGGATATCCGGAAGGTATGAATGTCGGCCTGTTATACGTTAGTGTATGCCCTGATGCTGATCCCATATCTAGTTCCTTGACGGTCTGTACGTTTCGGAGAGAGGCAACATTGTTGAGGAATAGACGATTTACGGGTCCGTCCGCCGTGCTGTGTAGTTGAGGATGTCTGGAGAACTTCATTTCGCACTACTTGCATTAGGGAAAAAGCAAAGCGAAAATCAATGCAAAACTAAAACGGAATTCGAATGCCCCTTTACGTGTCCACGGATATGGCTTTTCTCATCTGGGGAACATAGTATGTAGGAAATATCCGGCTTCTACGAACAATCCAAGTTTCCTTTACTTCCATTCAAGCCTGGTTTTACCCTGTTGAATACATATCTCAAGACCTTGTGCTCGACTCTCTTCTGCCCACGTCCACCGTATCGTAGCCGGGCCAGGAGTCGCAAGGACCGGCATTCGCTGCAGCGCGACCTGAGGTGAGAGAGCCGAGAAAAACCGCCAAGTGTAGCCAGATAAATGAATCTCCTGAAATAGACATCTATAGACCCTGAATACACACCGGAACTAACGTGGGAGCGGTTAATCTCACTTGTGGCGGAGAGTTGCAATGCTCCGACAGATCCCATCTCTTTTCATCATCCCTGGTAACTTCCAACAACGATAACTTTTTTCTCCTCTATCCATCTTCTACAGAACCTCAACCTTCGGGGCAGAATGATTGTTGTCTCGACTTGACTGCCACTAAAGCCGGGCTGATGAGATACCTTCTCCGCGTCATATGTCATACCCCATCAACTCTTAGCATGTGAAAGCAGGAACACCCACATGCGCCGTACGCCATTACGCTCACCGCACACTATTTGTAGTCTACCATAAAAAGATGGAGTCCTGGGTAGCTATCTCTGGTCTTTTCTCTGCGATCTTTAGCATGGTGCTCGACGTCGCGCTGTTCTGGAAACATGTATGCTCTTCAACGTCCGCGCAAAGATGTTCCAATGGCTGTGCTGATCAAGGTCGCCCTGCAGAGGTTACTGGCATGGTGGTTCTCAAAATCGCCTAAAATTAGGCTGCGACACCGTCTGGCCACAGCGCAGACATTTGAGGAGTGGGAAGAGGCTGCCTTTGAGCTGGACGAGCTCCGGAGCGCGGATTTATGGTAAGTTGGTTTTAGATCTCGCCTGCCTGGAGTGATAAGGGTAGTAGCTAACGCTAGTGCAGGCGCCAGAACCCGACAAGTCGACATTACGACTACCGATTGATTCTGGGGCGAGTAGAAGCTTTGATGACTGCTCGTGAGGAAGAGGATATCCTGACACTGGCCAATCTTCTTCGCTCCGGACTTGTCCGCAACCTGGGCAACATCACCTCCCCGAAACTCTTCTTACATGCGTACGCTGGCACGAAACTCCTCATTGATGACTATATCACACAAGTCGCACTCTCCATCCAGCACATAACGGCTCTGCAGACCGCTCCAGTCCACGAGAGTGGGTTCACTTCGCAGGCCAAGCTGGAGCTCCTGCA